GGGGGGGGGGGTACTGTTTCTGAGCCAAGGACAGGAGTCAGTGCCTGCTAATGGTCACTGTGGCTTTGACTCCCCAGTGACAGGCCAGCTAAGGCCAAACTTCCCAATAGCTTCTAATCCCACCCCTCGCAAACAAGAGCTGAGACCGGACTCAGACACGGACTGAGATAGGACTCACTGCTGACAGCTGTTCCTACCACCCTGCGCTCTCCATCAAACTCTCAGCTCATTAAAAAAATATATATGTTAAAAACTTGAAAAAGAAAAGAAAAAAGATGGTAGCACATGTGGGGACTTCTTTCTCTGTCTTCCAGATACATGACACCTGAAACTGAACCCCAACGCCCTCCCCCCAGGATGCTCTCACTCAGGATGCAGGCAGACGTGAGCTGCCCTCTGCATGGTCACAAAACTCCAGGGCCACTCTGCCCTTACTTACATTCTTTGCTTTCCTTGTGCGGAGCTAGGAGGAGAAGAGAGAAGATTGGGGATTGGTTTCATCAGCATGGGCAGCATAGAAACTTCTGCCTCAATCCCACTGGGGTGGAAGGAAACTGAGCAGGGACTCATGGTTTGGTCTTAATGAGTGAGACACATTGAAAGCTCGGTTTGTGGGTCATTGGTGAGTTTTACAGCAGGACTCAACCAAGGGATGCTGTCCTCTGCATAGGAAGAAAGAGCTAGTAAATACTGAAAAGACAGGGAAGGGAATTCCTTGTGCTGCCTTTTGTCATAACTACAGATCTCCTCAGAGAACCAAAGCAGCTCCCCTTCCTAGGAGAGGTGAATGTCATGTCAAACAACAAAGTTAAGCACGAGAGAATCCAGGGTCTCTGTCCTTCAGTAGTAGAGGTTCGGGGATGGGAGAGATGCTTCTAGAGGGCCAGAAGGAGCTGGCCAGACATCTGCTCTGCCCTACTTCTTCAGTTAGTTATTCATTCATTCATTAAAGTCATTAATCAGATGCACACAGGGGGCCTAGTATGTGCCAGCTACAGCTCTAAGTGCCAGGGATATGGCAGGGAACAAGTGAACACCCGATGTGTTAGGGGACAAGGATCAAGAATAGTAAGGGGTGATGGCTTACATTATTTAGGGTCCTTTATGGAATCTAAGGAAAGCCCTACTCTGCAATGTCTGCCCAGCCCACCTCTCTTCAAACTGCTGTGGGGACAGGCAGGTGGCGAGGGGGTGGGGGTGGGAGAGACGCCGCTGCACATCCCAGACCCTGCTGTGCCATGTGTGAGGTCCCTTATTGAGATGTGATGCCCACCTTTACCCAACCAGAGGGGTGCATATTTGAATACAGGGCTCCAGGTCCTCTTCCTTTTGCTGGGTGGACTCAGTCACCAATTTGCATTCCTTTAAGTGGCCACATGCAGTTAGTCCAGAGATAGGAGACCAAGGAGAGAGACGTGGGCAAGTGGGGCTGACCCCAGCCAGGCTGTCCTCAAAGGGACACCTCCGTGCTTCCACACACACACCTCAGAGCAGTCAGCAAGGGCTGAAACCATGAGAACCCCACCCAGTTGGCAAGGGCTTGACATGGCCATGAACTGTTCACAAAAGCCACCACCACCGGGTGTTCAGGACTGACCTGCCCCAGAGCCTGAGGACTCAAGTGACATACAGGAGTCGCACATGAAATGGTGTCACATCCCACACCTGCCCTCTTGCCCCAGACAGGCACCTCACACCTAGAAACATACCCAGAAATAACCAACAGCCTCCATGGGAGCCTTTTCCTGGTTGCCACTGGCTAATTCTTTCTGTGTGACCCAAGGAGGAGCTATGGAATGTGTAATTACAAAATACATTTGCAGGGTGCCTGGCTGGGGTCACTAGGTAGAACCTGGGACTCTTATTGTTGGGGCTGTGAGTCCAAGCTAGAGTGTGGACTCTACATAAAAAATACATTTATAGGGCGCCTGGGTGGCTCAGTCAGTTAAGCATCTGACGTCAGCTCAGGTCATGATCTCACAGTTCGGTTCGTGAGCTTGAGCCTCGCATGGGGCTCTGTGCTGACAGCTCGGAGCCTGGAGCCTGCTTTGGATTCTGTGTCCCCCTCTCTCTCTGCCCCTCCCCCACTTGCACTCTGTCTCTACCTCTCTCTTTATCACTATCTATCACTCTCTGTCTCTCTCTAAAAAAATTAATAATAAACATTGAAAAATACATTTCCAATGCTGTTAACATTCCTGACATAACAAGAGAGACCCTCTTAACAGTCTTTGGGAAGGGAGTGCCTCCTTTTGTGACCTTTTAGCCGCGCTCATGTCCAGGTATCTGCCAGTTATTGGATGATCTCCATGGCGGTGCAGGGGTGGGGGAGGGAAGGGACAGGAGTGATAGACCCTTCTCCTCTCCCCGTGGCTGCTTTTACCACTGTAGAGAGAGATTCTTTTTTTTTTTTTATGTTTATTTATTTATTTTGACAGAGAGGAAGAGAGAGGATCGCAAGCAGACTCTGTCAAGCACAGAGCCTGATGCAGGGCTCTATCCCACAAACTGTGAGATTATGACCTAAGCTGAAATCAAGAGTCAGACCATTAACCAACTGAGCCACCCAGGTGCCCTTGTAGAGAAAGATTCTTTATGGATCTCAAAACACTTGACAAGCACCTCCTAAAAGGCACTTGGTTCACATATTTCCTTTCCCTGTTTTCAGGTAAGTGCTCACCCTCCTTACACAGACCAGTTCTCTGTGGTCTAACCCATGGCTCCCACATAACCCATGTTAAAATACTAATCCTAAAATACTAATTGTGCATCTTAGTATTCCCATTTGAGGACCTACAGTGGTTCCCAGGTCTTCAATCATTCTAAACTTCCCAGCCTGGTATCATTTTGTATTTCATCCTTCTCCTGAAATTCCTGCTATGGGATATCTTTTCCAGTCTCCCTCTGCTCCTAGAATAAGCCCTCTTTTCTCTCAAGCCCTCCTACTGATCCTCTTCCCAGGATGCTTTCTCATCTACAGCAA